ACATATATATTATTCTCCATTATGGAAATTACAGCAACTTAAATCTCAAGAGCCGTATATCTAGGAAGCTAATTTTCTTCAAATTAAAAACAATATTTAACATCATAAGCAATAGAATCCATTTCCCCCTTCAAATTAATTACTGCTGCTCCTAGACTTTGAATAACAAGCAATAAAATGTCCAAAACTGAATTTAATAATATTTTTTTTTAAATGGAGATAGTATTTTGCATGCCATAACTGAATAAACAGCATCTGTGTATAAGCACTCACCTATAACAGTCTCTTACTCATCGGTAGCTATGCTATTTATGCAGGATTCTTAAAATGGCGTCTGGTAGCACTGCATTGCCTCATTCCTCTACTGTAGCTAAAATGGTAGCAATTTATTCAATAACAATGTCCCTTGTTTAAATAGCAGTATTATATTTGAAGCAATCATCTAAGTAGCAGGAAAATGGGAAAAGATGACACACTAATACCCAACATCCTAACATTTAACTAAAATGCACCAGACAGTTAGCTTTGTAAAGTGACAGGTTACTAAGAAAATCCTTCCATTTTAGATGCTGTCTTCAGCTTGAATATACAAGGAATGGTCCTGTCCCTTCAAATATCCTGCAAAAACCTAATGGGCATCAAGATTAAATAAAAATATCAAAGCTGATTATATGTAGAAGCCAATTTTAAGAGCAAAAGCCTTAAAAACAAAAGAAAAATGTTCATTTGAATGTACTTTTTGATAGAAGGCTTGAGAAAATTGCAAAAATGTTCCTAAGCAAGCAACTGTATTAAGAGTAATGGAGCATAAACAGGATCCATATTATTCTAGAGCTCAGTCTTCAGGGAGGATGCCCTGCAGATGAGAATGGATTTCATAGCACCTACCTGCATGTCTCAATATGGAATCGTAGTTGAGGAAAATAGTCTACTTTATAATCAACACTAGGTTACTGCTGCCAGGACACAGCTTTTTCTCATGCTTTAAATCATTCAACAGATGCAAAATGGGCTCTGGCAATACATTGTTATCACTAAAGAGGAAAACAAGTTTAACTGCAGTGAAGTGTGTCAAATTCATTTCATATTTTGCAATTACTGTGAAACAGATAAAAAACCTCATGGCCCTTAGTTTTCAACCTGATGGCCTACTGAACACCAACCCGATGGCCCAACGAACATATCTTGCACTGCCTTGTGGAAAATGTGGCCTGAGCATATTTCCCAGAATGCCATCCAGTTTCTTTAACTTGATACTCTTGGCTCAAAGAGAATCTAGGGCATAGCTGTCATTGAACCTTGTCACTGCTGAACTTGACAACCCAGGAGCAACTGTCTTGGGGTGACTGAGACATTATTCTTTGTCTGGTATATAGCATACATGACCATCTTACCATATCAGGGAGGACCAAAATGGCATTCCATAGTAGAGACACGACCAAAAAACAAAACAAAAACTAAAACAACAAAAAAAAATCTCCCCCCCCCCTTGCCAAGCAGAACCTGTTAATTAAAATTCTGGGGGAAGTTTACAATAAAAGAGAACAAATAAATACAAGATGAAGGTCAAATGCACTGGTGTTAAATTAACAAACAAATTTTTTTCAGAAAAGAAGCATGGCGCCATTTTATGTGCAGTTCCACTGGTATGGAGGGAGGGGAAAGGACATTTGTTTAGGACACCTCCTACCATTACCATTTTCATGAACATTCCTGAATGCTGTCAATAAGCTGCAAAAACTTCAGTCATTTTTACCGATTTTTATTTAGTTCCCAAACAAAACAGCTTGAATACTCAGTCTGAAACTGCTGGTGGCTTCTTTTTCTTTATCTGTTTTTTGAGCTCAAAATTTCCATTCTGTTTAATAAAGAAGAAACTTTCTTTCTTTTTCTAAGTCTGCAGAGTTAATTACAAAAGTAACCAAATTATGATCTAAACCAGTGGTTCTTAACCTTTGTTACTCAGATGCTTTTGAACTGCAACTCCCAGAAACCCGTCAGCACAGCAGGTGGTGAAGCCTTCTGGGAGTTGCAGTCCAAAACTCCTGAGTAACCCAAGGTTAAGAACCAGTGATCTAAATAATACTTAAGTATATTCATCTTGGCCAATCTTAAATAACTATCTAATTGTCAAACAAAGAAAAATGACACCATAAGTCTTCTTTATGACAAAATGGTTGCTTTTTGTCAGAAAAACACTTCTCAGAAAGGTTTAAGATAAACCACATTTAATATGAAAATCTACAAAGCTAAGTTCTGTTTGGGCAGGAAGAATAAGTGTTTACCCACACTTTGGTGTTCAAAGACCACTTATATTATTTGATTTTTGGAAGGACCAAAAGAGCACACTGTGATTCTGTGCATGCCATCCATAAAAGTAATTGATAATGCATGTCAAAGCATTAAAAAATTTACAGAATTCTTCAGGTTGACTGAATTCTCTTTAACTAAATTGGAACAAAGATGGGAGAATTTTCCAGAAGGCCTTTCTCAGCCTTGCTACAGTATTTGTCAATCTTTAACCTATTCTCTGTTCCTATTGGCTCAGGCTCTCGACAGAGCAGCATGATTGGACTGATCTGGGAACAACAATGCTGTCTCTCTTTGCTTCAGACATCTTGCTGCAATGCAGACATTTATATTTTGTGAACTATGAAAGAATTAGCATTTGAACAGTTTAAAAGGGTGAACTTCAGGGGACTTATGACGCTGTGTTTCATTATCTACACAAGGGCAGTCCATGCAAATATGCTTCTCTCTGTCAGCAGTACCTCTGGAGGTAAAGATTTGAGACATATCCTTCTTCAACAAAACCTATGGGAGCCATTTTAATTCAAGCATTCCAAGTACACCTCATTTGCTCCTGTTTCTTCATAAGATAATGCTCTATAATGTTAAGATCTCACACCCAGTTGCTAATATGCAGTAAGTTTGTGCAAGAAAAATATGTCTGAACTCCATTTTGACACCTGAAGAAGTACAATCTATTGCTCAGCAATACCTCAGTATCACTTTTGTAAATCAGGAAGTCCTTAAACAGTATAAAAGCCTGATAGTGAACTTTAGAAACAGGGAGCCACTTTAGGGAGGAGGAGAAAAGAGAATCCATCTGCATTAGGCATTTTGTATGGTACTGTACCTACTTTAGTTTTCTCTTTTTTAAAAAAAAAAGGAAAATATCTTGTTCAGGGAGGAAACTAGAGTAAAAAGAATACTAGGCAACAGTTTATCAAGTCCATGGGAGTCTTGCATAAATTGTAACAAAGTATTATTTCTCAATACATATTTGCATTATATGTTGACCTGGATTGCTACAAAACTGTGTGGTAATAGAACACACAGTAGAGTCTCTGTAATAATGTGAAAAAATGTCCACTGAAAAAACAGCTTGTTGAGACATGCTTACAGAAGTCTCAGTTCAAGGTTATTTTAAAAAGCATAAGTAACTCAAAAGTGGTTCTAAAATCAAATTTCATGCTGGATGATATATCACAGATAACAAAAGCATAGGGTTACTTTGGGATAGTATTGTAACAATGTAGCAAGGTTATTTTAAAAAGAACTGCCACAGTCACCACACTTCAAAAGCCTGAAGAAAGTCTGAATTGAGCTTTACCCTTTAAAATGCATTAATTAAAAGGATCTAGGAATAAAGAATAAGCAAATGTTTGCTTTCAATGTAAATCAGGAAGTATATATTCCAAGTGTGGCAGAAGACTGTGAAAAAAAATTGGCACACAGTCTGTATGAAGAGAATAGTGAACACATAAAATTTAGTTTCCCTTAACTAGCGATCCACAGAAATTCTCTGGCTGGATTAAGTCTGCCCTGTTAAAAGCAAAGGATTAAAAACTATTTAAAATATCAGAGAATAGCAGACAAGTTACTTACCAAGTGTTCAAGCAACCATCTCATTTCCCCCAGTAAATATGATACAACAAGCTGGCAGATTTGGGATTTGATCAAAAAGAAAAATTTTAAATAATTACGTAGCATCATGCCAAAAACCAGAAAATCTCAAAAAGGACGAAAAAAATGAACATGTAATACTCTCATGAACCACACATGATTTAATATCACTCCACCTCAGAGAGCTGTGCCTAGTCCATTGCAAAAGGGGGGGGGGAAGCACTGTTAAGAGGTACATCAGTTTTATATGTACTAAATAATAGAAGGTATATCATAGTTCAAAATATATTCTCTTTATATAGTTAAAGCACTGAAACAGATGCACAGCTATGCCCGATGTTTCAGACCTAGTCCTAAAACCTACAGCAAGAAAGTCATTTTTAAAGAGACAGCTTTTAAGCAATATAAAACTCTCTAGGAAAAGGAAAATAAAAAAACCACACACACACAAACACACACACAGAGAGTGCTTCTATGGATCCTGTAAGGAAAAAGTGAAATATCCATTTTAACTTAAGGCAAAATTGCATTAAAACATGATGCAATAGCACCCCACCACTTAGGCCCAGTATCTTCAATCTCCCATTAGCACTATCTATTGCAGTCCAGATGGCTAAAAATCCCATATTTTATCAGGGATAACTTAGCTTAGCTCTTCTTTTCAGGGTTTGAAAAGGTAAACTTGCCTGTGTTGCTGCCTGCCATTATCCCTGCTTGTCTCCCTGTAGGGCAGTTAAATGCATCTGCTCCCTAGCTTCCATTTTCTCTTCAGCAGGCATGTGACACAACAGACAATAGTGCAGGCAAACTGCTCAGACACAGAAAGCTGCTTTGGAAGAACAGTATCTTGACAAGCTCGAAAAACCACCATCTCCTTGTGAAGAAGTATGTATGCAAACGTTTTGCCAGTCTGTAAAATAAAGCTATGGCTAATGGCTACTAAACCATGTGACCCAAGAAAGCAAATTTAAACATTTTCAACTTAATGAAGTGCTGTGGGGTGAGTTTTGCGCGACAGATCACAGAGAATCACACTGTTAAACCACAACTCATAGGTTTCAGAGAAAAAAATGTAAAAAAGTAAAGCTTACCTCTGTGGATGCATTGTTAACACAGTGTTATGTCAATACTTATAAAACATGGAGGACAGGCTCTCAGTACTCAGACAGAAAGGGCTTGGCACTTCAGCTTGATGATCTGTCTTCCTAATAAAAGCTAATCCTGGATTGGCTACTTTGGAAAATCTGAATGTAAAGCTTCAGGGGATTGGCTGAAACACTTCCTGAGCGATTATCTTTGTGCAGCTCTGGCAAGCAGGAGCCATCCTGTGCACAGAGAAGACAGGCTAAACTAGGCCTGTTTCAGCAAAAGAAACTTAAAAGGAGAACCACACAGATGCAAACCTCTTGCAGAAAGCAGATTTTCAAGCAGAACAAACTGAGCACCACATGCCAGCCTAAATGAAATATTTCTCAGACCACATCTACTGCTTCTGCTTGAGGTTTTTAAAACCTCTAGGCTTTCTCGGGTCACAAAAGCTGTTTTTCCTTCACAGAGAGAACAACAATTCTGATGCGGCCACACACGCAAAAGAAGAACAGCACGTGGAAGCAGCGCGCGCACACACACAGAGATACACACAGCAGCAGCAACAACAACACACATAATGAAAGTTGTACTAAGGGATCAAGGCCAAGCAGTCTGGTTCATCTGTTATATAACATCTACATAGCTCAAAAAGCAAACAGGATTCTTCCACAAACATTAATTTAATAAGACTTAAGTGAGCTATAAGAACTCACATTGTGGAGTAGTAGTTGTTGTTCTTATCAATGTACACAACATATATTGGATTATAAAGCAGGAGGCTGGCTTCTTAATCACTTGCAATGCTTTTTTCCTAATTAAATATAGAGGATGCAGAAAAATGCTGTTTTTCAGGAACTGTACTAGATGCTGTTTTTTAAAGAACTGCCCTTCCCTCACCCCTAAGGCCTTCTAAAGTTGTCAGTTAAACAAAAATCTGACTTGCCTATTAGTGTGCTGCAGCTGCAGCTTCCTGTCGATTAACTCTATCCCATCCGGCTCTTTTTAAGGCACAGGCCTTGTGAAGAGCTTCGTTTGAGTGTGTGGAAAAATACCAGAGCTGCTTTCAGCCCAAGGAGAGACAACAGGAGTCCACTCTAAATTCAGCAAATTTCATCTCAACTTCTTAAAGTCTAAAAAAGCTGGTGGTGGGGTAAAAGGGGGGAGATTATGTTAGAGTTAAACCATAATTAATCAAACAACCAGTTTGATTCGGGGCCAGTTTTTGAGCACAGTCCATATGAAGGAGTTAGCTTTCCGTCTTCTCTAAAACAGCTTGTGTTTCACTTCTATTATTACAGGCTGAAAGATTGCTGTGTTGTGGGAAGGGAAACATTTCTAGAGGAAACATATCAAAGAACAGATTTTCACACACCCTCCATTTATGCCTACATACATATAGTACTGACCTTTCTCTGTATTCACAAACAAGGCAGCTAAACAAGAAAAATCCTAGTTTCATCTACATATTACTGAGCACATAAATATGTGTCTGCAAACAGAATAGAATACCAATTAAAGGCAACCAGAAGCTTTCATATATAAGACAATACCTCAGTGGAAGGAGACAGTAAAAAGAAATTAAGCTCTGAGTACGAATCTCTGATAGTACAATGAAACAGTCAATTAGCCTTATAATGCTGAGGGAGGGAAGGGCTTAGTAAACAAGCATAGTATATAAACAGGCAATGGCACATCCACCATGGAAAGCACTTTCGACCATGGAAAGGTCTTTCGAAGGCCAGCAACCAAACACAACCTATTTCTTAAATTGTTTTCTTAAATACATTGATTTAAAAGTTATGTTAAATGAAAGCCAACTAAAATGATAATTTCCCTGAAATCTCAACAGTAAACAATCTAATTCAAGCCATGAACACACGAATAACACAAACAAACCTTTTGGTTGTGGATCCCATATGCATAATCTAAATGCATAATCTAATAAATCAATAATCCTACACTACCATGCCTCATGCTGTGGTTAAGTCTTCTTATAATAACAACCACCCTCACACTTCACAATAACTCTCATGCTACTAAGAAGCAGTATGCTTCCAGCAAAAAGCTCCCCCCTCCCTCCCCCCACCTCTGCACCAGTGATTAAGTATCACTGACTTTGAACACAATTCTGTAGTTTTTCCTAAGAGGAACATTTTGTCTTTCAAAATCTAGACACATTTCTCTAGCACAGACAGCAGCAAAACCTGGCTTGCTCCTTTTTAAACACTGCAGAAACAGAACACTGTAATTAATCGCATACATATATGCCACTTAAAGCAGCACACTGAAAGCTGAAGAATGGTAAAACTAGAAAGGTAGCCTACAGACTGAGGAATTAAATATAAATTTCCCAGAAAATAAAAACAGAACAAAAACATTCTTTGTATGAATTGAGGCCCTTCTATGCGCATTTCTCTTTAAGATTGAGAGTGTTTATCTCAGTGTACAGAAGCTATGTTGCAATTCCAACAGCAGCGAAAAAGAACTAGACAAGCATTGTTTATCAATGAGATATTTTTCTGCAGCAGAGGCTACTGAATAGTAAAATAAACAGACCATTCTCTCAACTTGGATTCTAAAAACCACTGGAAACAAAAAATTATCAGATCACTGTGTAGACTAACAGGAGACTGTAACAGCTAATAAAATGATACTGCAAGCACACTATTTTAAATCAAAACTCTTTAGTAAAAGACTGTTTGAAATACTTATCCCTGTCTCCATGTATTTTTCATTTCTGGGAAAAAAAACACTCCATTTACATCACACAAGATAACTCACTGTGTTCCATGATAATTAATGTCCTTATCAATTGTTGGACTTCATAACCACCATGACCATTACCAAATAAAAATCTGCACTTATACCAAAAGCACTGAAAGACTGGAGAAAAGCCAGCCTTTGATTCCCTCCTTCTTTGACCACCATTGCGTTTACTACAAAATGGTTAAAAGGCATCATGAGATAAATCACTGACACAATATAAATTTTCATATGCTGACTCTTAGGAGAGAAGCTATGACAACTTTCTCAAAGGAATTCAAGATAGCTTATATGGAAGTAAATCTCTCTCTCTTTGCCTAAGAATCCTGGTTGAGGGAGGGTAGGTTCCTTCCTGCTGAAGCAGGAAACTGTACCAACTCTACATTATAATTCTCTGCTACAGCACACTGGTTCTTCATTGCGGTTTGCCACTTCACACAGCAACCCTCTCCTCAGATTACTCAGAATGCAATAAAAGCCCACAGCTAGCTTCATGAAAGAACAAGCTTCATCCCACCTCCCTTTGCTGACAAGGAAGCAAGCATGGAGGAGTTTGGGATTGTGAAAATCACAACGCACACAACCCGTGTCCAACCTCCTTCCACAATCAGCTTCTGCTGTATGTTCAAGTGTCTGCATCTATAATTCATCCTTTTGCAGGAAGAGAACAGCAGCATTCCATTCAAACAACAAAGAGACTGTGAACACAGATCTCAGGCATCTTTCTATTAGGAGGTAACCATAGATGAATTTAATGGTGGGCAACGGGGTTGGCGTACAGAAAATGAAACAAACAAACTAACAAAAAAACCCACACATTATAAAATGGCAGATGGAAAAATTGAACAAATAAGAGTGAGTGAAGGGAAGTAAATTTCTCACATTGGTTTAGACTACAGCTCCCATTATTTCTGAACATTGGTCACCCTGGCTTGGGCTGATGGGAGGCTACTTTATATATTAAACTTATGCCATCATTTCTTAACTTTAACTACACTTGGACTGTACTTGGCTAGATAGATCTGGGCACCAACAGCTGTACCCAGAAGACCACGCATTCACATCACCACCAAAACAACTCCCAATAACAGGATTTGTACTATACTGTAGTGTTCATAACATGTGGAAAATATCACCCAGTCTAATCAAGAGGAACAATACAAAAACTGCACGTTAACTCTCACCCTCAGATTGATTCTGAAGCACAAAGTGAGACAAAGTCCACTGTCAAAGGCTGCCCATGTGACTTCATCTCATGTTGCAAATCTTTATTCATACCAAGAGCAACATTCTCAAACAAATAAAACCAGAGTGTAGTTGCTTCTCTGGGTAAAACATGTCCTGGCATTGGGACTGCAGTGGCACTGACAGTGGCTGGGCATATAGCCAAAGGTACACATTCAGGTCCCTGGAGGGAGGATATGGTCACATATCACACAGTAATTTAATAGCAGCAATTGCTAGTTGAGGCCTCATGTTCTGCTCTTCTAATCTAACCCAACAAAATGGTTTGCTGTGTAGAAGCAAAGGCTCTTCGGGTGCCAGTAAAAACACAGACTAATTGGGACTCCTCTCAGGTAGCTCATATTGTTTTGATCACAAAGTCACCTCACTATGGTAAACATGTTGCTTAAGCATTTTAAATAGGGAAGGGGGAAGGAAATATGGAGTTTGATCACCAAAGTTAGAATGATTCTGTGTATTGTGCCCCCATAAAATGAGAAGCAAAACAATAATTTTATCGGAGCAATTTATTTGGCTGAAAGCAAGCAAATTTTCAAACTTCAGGCTAAGGAAGCTGAAAGAAACCCCTGCTGCAATCTGAGAATTAAGCCCTATTATCCTGCAATAAAAAGCTTGGCCTTAACCAATTGCTATTCTGGGGTGTGGCCATTTAGGTGGGGGAAGTGAAAGAAACACAATGAAAAGTGGTGAGGACAGGAAGGAAAGCAGAAATAAAGGGCTGAAGTCACAGATGTTAATCATCAATGCTTGGAAGAAGTAAAATAGTGAAAAGAGGGGGCTTGAGAAGGATGTAGAAGAATAGGTCAAAATCAAACACAAGTCATCAGACAGCTCTAGAACAATGCTCACTCACTCCTTTTTTTTTACAGAGAGCTCCAAAGACAACACCTTCTGCCTATCGCAGAAAAGTGAGAACAGTTCACAGAAAATGACACACACAGAGAGACAGACTACTTATAACTTGCAGCCAAATCTTGGGAAACCCCACTGACTACATTCACTGTCAGATGCTGGAAGCTGGAATCCAAAAAACTATTTTTTTTTCAAACTCTCCTCACAAGACACAAATTAGAGGTCTCCCCACAGGGCACCTACCCCAATTGATACAGTCAAGACTATAGTTTTCTGAGAAGTCAAGAGCTGTTATTTGCAGAGACACCTTCAGGTAGAATGGAAAAAATGCAGAAGCGCTGAGTAAACAAGCAACATCAGCTATGCAGTGGCCTGCTCAAATATGCATTCTACAAATGAGTCATAGAGCTGCTGCAGATGGTTCACAGTGCCAAATGAGAGCCTG